TTGAGTTGAGTTGGGGAGAGCAGGGGCAAGGTGTGTGACACCACCCTGTGCGTTCTTGTCCACTGCCGACCTGTGTCAGAGCAGGAAGGCAGGTGAGCGATTAGTCTGGGTTTGTGCTTTCGTCGCTGTTTTATTAAGCACAACTTAATCGTTCCTTTATCTCCTTCCTCCTATGCATTTTTTCCCCCCCCAGCGTCGCTGTGGTTTTGCTCGCTTACTGCTATTTACTCCGCGTTCTGCTGCTTAGGTTTTGGTGATGCTCAGATGTTGCCTGGTATAATCTCTTCTGTGACATCCCAGTGGTGGAAATCCTTTGGCTAGCCGGACTTTTCATTGCATGCTTAGTTTTCACTGAGTATTGTTGCAGTTTTACCTATAAAATAATTGTTTTCTCCTCTACCAAGTAGTCACCGAGTTCCTCTTGTTTTTTTTTTGCTTTTTTGTTGAGTTACAATCATTCTTATCTATCTGAGAAGCTAAGAGTATTTTCAGCCTGCCAAGCAATGCCTCTCACTCATTCTTTTGCATCTCTATTGTGACTTTCCTCTCTCTGGCTTGCCAAATAAAACCTTTTCTTATATTCATTTAGAACGTCCTTCTCATTTCCCCCACTTCATCTTTTTTAATTTATACTTTGACATTGATTCTTCTTTTGCCGACTGTATCAGCTGTCCCTCTTCAGCTTTGATGCACCGTAGGAAGGTTTCTCATTAATAGTCAGCTTTGAATAAGGATGGCTAATTCCTTGTTTGTGTCTGTAGTCAGGAAAGGCAACGCAGGCTATGATTTTTGAAGCGTCTCGTTTGGGTGCTTTGGATGTCTCTGCTCGGACACGGGTTTAGTCCTGTATTTTCACCGCTGGTATTCAGCAGTTCTCAAGCAGCACGTCACTCCCTTGATGTCTCGAGCGTTGCTTGTTACAGCTCAAAATCTTATCACCAGATTTTCGCTTAGTTACATTTGGGGTAATCTTTCCTGTGCTGGCTCTATCCCTTCCCTTGAGACAGGAGATGGTATAAACCAGACCTCACCTTTGACACTGACCTGCTTTCTAGTGAGACCCAACAAAATAAGACATTTACCAAGCATTTCATCTCCAGTGGCTTCTTTTTCTTCCTGGAGTCGAATGCTACTGTCGTTACTTGTTTAGCTGCATTCTCTGAGGCTTTGGTACTTACAGAAATACTGTGTATTGCCTGAAAAAAAAGGATATTATTTCATCACAAGACGCAGACATAACTTGAGGCGTCAGGACAGCCCAGAGCCCTAGGATGTGAGCAGTGCTGCTTTCTGGTGCTCCTCCTGCTGCAACAAGATGAAGCAATATAGTAGGTTTTAGCTGTGTGTATTTGATAAGATTGCTGATGTAATTGTAGAAACAATTTAAGCCAAGGATGTGTTTTATTCCCCTCCTCTGTTGAATGTGAGAGCAGCAGTATCTCTGGGTTTGCCCAGTGCACTTGCTTGGGAAAAGAAGAGGCTGTCTCAGCGTGCCTGGGAGAGGCAAGGGCGGATGTGGGGTGGGATGGGATGGAGGGGGCGGCACCGGGTGGGTGGGATGGATGGGGTGATGCTGGGGGGTGGGATGGATGCGGCGGGACGGCCAGGTTGGTGGAGGTTGGCTGGTTTGTATGAATCCACTCTGGCAGGGATGGTTTTTCTGTTGTGCGTAGGTAGTACATTTCATTTTAAAAAAAGATACGATTTAAAAAAAAAAATAAATTAGGAAGCTATTAAGATATCCTTAATTTCAAAGTGATCATTCGCTTTCCCAGTTATACTGGGACAGGGAACAGCTTTACTATAACGATACTTTCATTTTCTCTTTGTCTGCTTTTTATATTCCTTTCCACTTCTTGTTGTGGCCATCCTCACCCTGTTGTAAAAGGGGCCAGCCGGGACCCGTGTTGTTCAGTGTCGCGTTTCTCCGAGGGCTGCTGCTGAGGAACGTGTGTTTTATTGGAATTAAATTGTAATCCCGATGGTCCTCGCTCAGAACATCCCTCTTTGAAGCTCACTTCTCCGATGGCAGAGTTGCCTCAAGAGCAAATAGTGGGTTTATATAGTGGTTTTATCTGTGGGATTTTAATTTCTCTTAAGCTAACGATGTGTCAGCCCCGGAACCTGACCCACTGTGAAAATACAGGGAATGTGACGTTTTTCTTGTTGATTATGTCATTTAAGCAAGCTGTTTACAAGGAAAAATATCTTCTGTGTTTGTTTTTGGTTTGGTTTTGGGTTTGGGGTTTTTTTTTGGTGGGGGGGTTAAGATGACTAGTCTTGGTTTGGAGCTATGTTGCGTTTAAGGACAAAACAAATATTGTGGTGGTGTTAGATGTAAAACTTCAAGCGTGAAACTGGTTTGGGGAATATTCTTAGAAACGCTATACATCATCTCAGTCCTGTTGTAGGAAGCATGGGACTTTTTGCAGCTGTGGGAGCAGCAACAGAATACTCTTCAATTTCTACAATTTAAAAAAATCAAGAGAAAACCAAAGAGCTGTGGTGACAGAGAAGTGCTCTCAAATTCCCCAGCCCAAAGGCGTATTGTAGGAAAGGCTGACTCGTTGACTGTTAAGGTTGCACAGCTCTTTCCATCGCCGGTCCTCCTTTTGTTTCCATGGCAGCGCAAAGGATAACGCTGCTGCAGCTGCCAGTTGCTATTGGAAAATAGATTTTGGGTTTGACCTAAATATCTGTTTAATACAGATCTCAGTAACAAGGCATGGCTTTTCAGATGCCAAATACATGCGAGGTTCTAATGAGTTTCGGCAGAGGTGCCTGATGCCTTAAAGAAGCTGAGCTTAGAGAAGTTTTCCTCTTATAATTAGCGATAGGTAGCCGGCGATAAATCTGACCAATATCAAACATTTATGTTGGAACTGTAAGAGCTCTTGGGATTTTATGCTTTCTGACAACACTGGGAGGAATGGAGGAGTCTTAAACTGACAGCTCACAAAAATCCCTCTTGTTTCTGGATTGTAATTGAATTGCTTTGTGGCAATTTTTCATGACTTCTGCAATGGATGTATTAATCCTATTAACAAAGTGTAAATACGGTGTCGTGTGGGATGGGACGTGATTCCCAGCGCTCTGACCGGAGCCTGGATGGTGTTTGCAACCGAAGCTGTGCAGAGGGGGGCTGGGAGGGGACAGGGCCATGCTGCAATTCTGTTTCTGGGTTCAGCTGCACCAAAAAACCCCCAAAAAACCCCGACACTTCTGCCACTCAGGAGAGAAAGGCACTGTTTGGAGTTATGTGGTTGCAGCAGTAGTTTCTACGTGGCATAAGGGGAAAGCTGTATAATCTGTAATTCTGTCAAACTGAGGGTCTAGGGAGGAAAAAAATTAATTTTTCCTGATTCTGATATGGATGGCTTTCTAAAACTTTAATTTGTTATTGCTTCATAGTAATTGTGTACAAAACTGAATGTATAAGCAGAGGATCCGTATCAAAAGCTGAGTGATTTTTTTTTTAAACAGGTATAAGATGAATGAGAAAATTAATGTATAAAACCAAGTATGACACACTCTTCTAAATATTATACGCAAAGCTTAAAAATAAGTATGTCAGAATATTTTCCTGCTATGCTGTTTTGGAATTGAGTTAGTGCTTCGACTTGAAATGCTGGGGGCTGAGTTGGAGAGAATGTGTGCTGAGAGATTACCCCTCCTCTGAAAAATGCATGTTTTGTTAGTATCACAAGTCTCAACCCAAAAGCTGCACGTTTCCCTTTTTGCTGAGAAAATTAGCGCGCAAGCATTGGGAAATACGTTCCGAAAGTGCTCCTTTGATATGGCTCCAAAAGAGAGATGCGTGGCTTTATCTGCATCTTTGCGGACAAGTGGGAACTCGTAGGAATGTTTTCTGTACCTGGTCGCTCTCGGGGTTTTATTTCAAAGCAAGAAGTAACTCTAGATATTGCTTGTAATGCAGGAATTATTGAGGGGGAAACAGGATGTGATGCAGTTATTGGTACTTTAATTTCATTCATGTGTTGTTCAGGGCTCCTGTTCTTATAAAAAAGAAAAGGATCTTTTGCTGAGGGTATCCAGAGAAATCCCTTGGCTTTTTTTTTTTTTTTTTTTTAATACCTTTTCCTCATTTAAAAGGACAGCAAAGGGACTTTGGGATAGCCTGGGGGAAGCTCTTACTAAGAAGCTTTCCAAGAATCATGGAAGATTTAAGTCTTTTCATGTCATACTGCAGAGACATCTGCCCGCTCTTCGCTCATCCCTCCTTTTGGAACAGGTTTGCCATTAGGTTTTCATCGCAATCAGACAAAAAGAAATCTGTGAGCTTCTCAGGCTTTGGATTAAATCGCTAGTCAAGGGTGAGACATTTCGGTGCCAATAAAGGACAAAACAAGGTTAGTGGAGCGAGGAGTGGTGCAGTAGAAGGGATGAAGCAGAGGTTCCCGTGCTGGCACTGCTGACGGTGGTGGGCTGTGGACTGCCGGGACGGTACTGGGGCACCTTAGGTTCTCCCAAAGTGTTAATCGATAGACTGTGTTGGCTTCTGGGGAATTTTTAAGCAGGAGGGACACAAAGGATGGGGAGGGTGGTGTAAAACTAATCAGCCTCAGTTAAAAGTATTTACTCCGTGGCCTGATTAGCTGCCTTGCTGTTGCCCGTGGCGGTAAACGGAGTTCACTTAGGTTAGCAGAGGGCCGCCAGCGGTAAAAGTCAAGTACAGGATGAAACGGACTGCTGAGCACCTGAGAGAGGCTATTCCTCTGCTTATTTCTGTAATTGCTACAAACTTCAGAGGTTTTCATATGTGACTTCCCACCCCCCTTCTGAATTGTGGACAGTTGAATTGACCTTGAACCTGTTGTCTCTCAGTAACATAGTTTTGGTAATACTTATTTTTTAGCGGTCGTTACAGGTTTTGAAGAAGGAAATTTGTTTTTCTATTTGAAAAGTTATTCTGAGCAGGACTCATATACAGAATGTTGAAGCAGCTGGACGTTTTTGGAAGTCTGCTGCTGTGCTACGCCATGGTGTACCTGGATCTCACCAACAATGGCCATCAAGCCCCAAGATTTCACCACAATGTTGTGTTCATGGAGAACCAAAACAAGCATGTCCACCTGAGTCTTAATATTGGAACTAACAGAGAAGGTTCCTCTGGCCGGAGCTGAGTTACTGAACTGAGGTTTTAAAATAGCCAACGACCTTATTGTAGATTGTGCTTTGACGTAATGATGTGTAAGTGGAACTGAGAAACTCTAAATGTAGTGGTGAAAATTAAAAAAAAAAAAAGGGGAGGGGGGGAAGAAACATGAAAAAAGGCTATTTTGTAGAAAAGTACATTTGGTGAAGAAAATGAAACTTAAACTGTCTTCTTGGTTCACGTTTTAAAAATAAATGATTGACACCATGCATATTTGAAGCTTTTGATCATTGATGCAGAAGTTAAATGAACAGGACATGCAACTGTGATTAATTATTGACAAAAGCCATTCCTTTCATATGTAGAGTCTGTAGTTAGATGTGAAGGTTGAGTTCACTTGAATTCCAAAGTCGGAAAGTAATGCAAACAAGACTCCAGTTGATCAACTTCATACATGTGGTTCTATTTATTATGCAAATCTCTTCCAATATGTTTAAATCAACATGTGTGTGGGGGGGTTGTTTCTTCAGCAGAGTGTATTTGTGGACTACCCAATTTGTGCTTTGCATGCTGCAGTCCGATGCATCCCATGTTTTAGTCATGCTGTAGCTGTGAGTTAGTTTATTTTTTATTAAAAAAGCAAATCCCCAAGCTTATTTGTCATGTTCTATCTGCAAGTATTTGACCTTTTCACCTTAACTTCCAAGAGTCTTGGGATTAATTTGGAATAAATCACTCCTTTCTCAGGCATTTGTACTAGAGCTACGTTGGTTAGCTGGGTACTTGAACGTCCATACAGATGATGGTACGTTAACCTCTTTTTGCTGACGAGACCAGATGCTGTTTCATGACATGTTCTGGTTTTAACTGTCGTTACTCCTTGTAAACATGCCAGTGTAAATTATACTAAGAAGGGAAGATTATCTCGTAGATCTCCTAATGAAAGTTTGGGGAGTTTTGGGGGGGATTTTGGTTGTTTTTTTTAAAAAGGCAGTGGAGGACCTTCTGTAATTTAACTGCAAAGTGAAAATAACAGTATTTTGAGTTTTAGTTTAAATTAGTTGGGTTGAAGTCAAGCTTTTTTTTTTTAATAAGCATGTTTTTGCAATAAAATGGTATTTCAAATATTCTCAAGTATTTTGGACACTGGAAACACCTGTACATAGCAATAACCAGGTACTTAACAAAAAAGAGAAGGTAGCTGTGTCAAGAAGTCCAGCACCTTGTCAAGTTAGTGTCGTTATATCTCCTTTACCCTATAGCTGATCAGAATTAAAATGCACGCATTTCCTGTATTGAGGGTACTGGATGTCTGAGGCAGTTTGTTTTGGAAGGTCATCGTGAGGGTTCTTGATGCAGTTCAGTGAACGAAGGACCACAGAGGGTGAATAAATCCATGCCCTTGGGTAACTGCCGTCTTTCTGCTTTGTCTTTTGGCCTCGGGGCTTTTTGGAAATTTACCTTTCATTGCCTCTCCTACCTCGCTTCTGCTTCTGGAATGTACAGATCTTACAAAATAATATTTAAGATTATTTAAAAAAAAAAACAGACAACAGGGCGGCTGATGTTCTTGTTGCCCTTGTGAGTCTACCCCTTGGCTTAAACAGTACATTTTTTGCAGTTCTCTGTGTCTGTAGCAGTAGCAGTGATCTGCTCGCTCATCTTTTTTTTAATCTTCTGTGGTGATAAAGTCCAATGCTGCTTTTTTTATTGAAGCTTGTTGACATTAATGGAGAGTTCTAACATTTTGTTTCACACACATACACCGCCCGTCAAGTATAAAACTTGCCTGAGACCGATGGTTTTCCTTGACACCTGCAAGTCTGGAGATCAGCTGAAACTTCCTTGTGTTCATAGAATCGTTTAAGTTGGAAAAGACCTTTAAGATCATCAAGTCCAACTGTTGCACAGCCTTGGCTAGTTCTTTCTGCTGATGAGTCTTGCAGGTAAAATGGCAAGTTTAATTTTCATCTGTTTATCCATCTTTTGCAAATAGTAATGAAGGGTAACTTAGGTCTGTCATGCAGTTACATGTAATTAATACCAGGTAAAAACTGTTCAGGGAATCAGGCGTAACTGGAGTAGCCTTTCTTAATCTGATATCCAAGTCTTGGCATGGTAAAATGTGGATTTTATTTGTTAGCTGTGATGTCATGTTGCTATGATATGAAGACTGTTGGTGAAATTATAGGCTGACTAATGAGTTTTGTTTAGAGAAGAAAAAGGTGATAATCCAAAGCATCAGTTGCATAAGTGCAAGTTAATTATCTTTACTGGGCAGGGAGTAATGGTTAAACGTGCAATGATATAATTTAAATCAGCACTTGCAAGTTTTCATACATTTGAAATAATTGTGAATCCTTATTACTGTTCCACAAGTGACAAACGAAATGAGTATGTTAAGTCACAGAAATATCACGCAGGAAATCTGTACTTTATGCCCTGAAGAAAGAGGTTTGTGTGGAAAGGAACTCTTTGGTTTGTTGGCTTGCCATTACGGTCAGTTCTTCCCTATCACGGTTGGGTTGTACGGCAATTTCTTCTCCTTTTCTACTGCTTCCCAAATCAACAATAGTCCAAAGCAAAACCACGAGAATTGGTAGTTTACTGTCAGGACAAGTTAGGGAAGGATTCCTCTTGTGCTAAAGGCTATTGCAGGTTTCTGGTGGCGTTTTGATTCCTGCAGTTTCGTTGTTCCACAGGCTTTCCAGGGGCTGTTGGAGAAGCTCAGGGACCTGGTCCGAGGCAGTCAGAGCCGCGCTGTACGTTCGACTCTGCTGTCGGCAGCAGGCGAGGAGCCCCAGCCCGAGGCACAGCTTGTCAGCTCAGTTCGGGCACTCGCATCCGCATCGTTGTGATCCAATCGATACCTTCCATTGCTTGCCGTAAGGGAAAATTTTCCCTCCTGCAGGAAGGTAGAAAAGCATCTAGACCAAGCTGTGGTCCCTTTTGAGTGCCTTAACCAGAAGGCTCCTAGAGCAGGTCTCACACACCGTTCCTAAATTGAAATTGCTTTGTCTGCGCCTCCGGTTATTTTTGGCTGGGTATGCTACAGACACATCTTCTTGACTCCCCTGGTCCGAGACTTGTGTTTTTATGTGCTCCTGGTTTCCAGATTGTCTTCTGGCTGGAGGCAAGGCACCAGGGCAGTGACTGCTCAGGTCAGGTGTATCTGCCCTGGGTGAATCCTGTGCCCCATGTAAATGGAGGGACACCTTTGACTCGGGAAGTCATTGAACTCAATTGCTGTTGGTCTACAAGAAAAAGATATTCTTCTGCAAGTGTCTCCTCCTCTTTAGTAAGTGTCTCTGCTGTAGTAAAAAGGTATTGCCATGGCTGAATCTTTGGCTTGACCTGGGGCAGCTGTTTTTATACGCTGATGAGGTAGTTTCTAAGCAATGCGGTAAATAATGTGTATTACCGCTGCGCTGAATTACTTAAAAGGGAGGAATGCTTTTGGAGAAGAGGATTGCAACAGCTCTCGAGACAGGCATTTTTTTCTCTTCGCCCAGAGTCTCAAAGCACAGTTCATCTTTTGCCATCCTCTCTGTCCTCATCTTTCCCCTTCTTGGCTTGGAGCCGTTGTTTGGTCTGAGACTGATGATGTCTGCCAAATGCTTGCCTGTTCCTTCAGTGTAAGCAGCTCTTTCCGAGCTCAGGATGAGGTGCTGTTCATTTTCCCCACTTCATAGCGCTTCAACTCATTGTTACCTGTTAACTGAAAGTGTAATGTTTAGCTCCAAAATGCTTAGTTTGCTTTTCCTGAGCATCTTTAGTAATCCTTGGGTTTCCTTCTATGGTAAGAAATGCTGAGATGATCATGGAGCAAAAAAGAAAAATACTTATAAGCAGTTTTTGCTTTCTTAAACCTTTACTAAGTAAATCAGAATTGACTAGCATTGGGTTGCTGGAAAATGATTTGTGTGCCGCTTTGCGGTCAGGCCTGACTGCCCCAAGAGACTTGTTTTAACTGGTGTACAGCCCCATCCAATGTAGATGTAAACCTGGGCTTTCAGGGACTGATCATCTCCAATGCCTTCAAACTGTGCAACAGGAGCCTAATGACCATGATGTCTTCTCTTGCAGCTGGAATACCAAAAGGTTAACCCAAGTCTTCAGATGGTCTTAATCTAAGCCTTTGATTTTCCTCTTCCTTGCAGTGAGCGAGTGGGAGGCAGCTCAAGATTGTAATGAACCCAACCGCTTAGTTTTTTTTCAAAGCGTTTTCCTGTAAATACACGTCCTGCTAGTACACACAAGCTTCTATTTGTAGCTGAAATGTAAAGTGATGTGATAAATAAAGATGGAGAAAGCTTCCAAACTTACGGCTAATATATCTGTGCAATATTGAGGAAAGTTAATGCATTTAGTGAGGACTAGAGATAGAATGCAAAATATGAATTTGCTTTGAGGTAGTTTTTAGTGAGGCACTGGGAAAGCTTGCTTACAGCTGACAGTTTCTTAAGTTAGTGAAGATACCCTCTGGGGTGGTAAATTGCTTCTAGGTTTTTTTTTTTTATTTTCTGGATCAAAAGCTCCAATGAAATAGCTTTTTCCTTTTCTGGACTGGTGTGTCAGAGGGGAAGCAATGACTTGTAAAACCTTTCCTTGCTTACGGACAGTGTGGTCAGGCATAACTTTTCACCTGTTTTTTCCTGCAACGCTGGGAATTGACTCTGTAACACTGGGACTACCTCAGCGCTGTTTAATTACTGTGGAGTTGCATCTACTCTGCTTGGTAGGAGTATTCTGTGCGCGCGACAGAATGGTTTGCGTGGTTTTGGAGAGATTTAAATCAGGATTCAGAGTAATGCTGCTTGGATTTGTAACTGAAACGTCATGATCTGTATGCTTTCAGTTGACTAGACCTTTGCAGAAGGAACAACCGGATACATGTTTGTGGAGGTTGAAAAATGGAGCCTTATTTCTCTTTTTTTTGGGTATGGAATTGTTAATGAGGTTGGACCCGGGTGCAGCCCTGAGGACTTCATGTCTTTTGGGAGCAACAATGAACTTAACTCGGCAGTGTTCCCGGAAATCACTCCCCTCCTGCCCTCAGTTGTTCTTAGTTGATAGTAAATGGTTCTGTGGTTTATTTCTGTCTAGATTGTGCTACTAAAAAATAGCACGTTACTAGAATAAACAGGTGTTCTCCCTTAGCTGGGCAGGGATGTTACCACCAGTGCTGGTAGTTGCAGTTGTTGACATTAAGTATGATGCGCAGTGAAAAAAATAGCATGGTTTTAGAACAGGCAAATGTTCTCGTTTACCTGGGTGGAGAAGCTAGTGCCGATGGTGGCAGTCAACCACAGTTGTTGACGTTGAGCATGATGAGCGGTCCAAGGGTTTTCTCATAGAGAAGAAATGTGCGGTGGTGGATGGGAAACAGTTTAACCCCGTACAGGCCGGAAGAGTCTTTTCATGACGCTGAAGGTCTGGCATTGGTTTGAGCTTGGTAATGCCAGTGGAGATGACAGAGCCAGTCTATGCTACAGAGAGCGCATCCGTTCTGCAGAATGATAATTTCTGGTATTCTTGGATTTTCGTTTAATTTATCCAAACCCCTATGTTTTTCATGTTGGACTGTCAGTCTCGTAAGAATGAGTGTGACTTTCGGCCTCATGTACCCAAAGCCTTAGCATGAAATTCTGTGTGGCAGACCGTGAAACGTCATTGTACTGATTTTCTGAATGTTGTCCACTTTTGCAGATGCCTTTGTAAATAGCCAGGAATGGACACTAAGCCGATCTGTACCAGAACTGAAAGTGGTGAGTTTATATTTCCTTCTATCTCTGAAAAACATCCTGACAATGTTATGTATAAGTGAAAAATCTTCTAAGCTTCATTAAATCTACTGTTGGGGGGAAAAAACCCCACAGAAAGCAATTTTAAAAAGTAAAGCATTTTTCTTTAACAGACTATCTTTATGAAGTTTGTTTATCTTCTATTTTTGTAATCATATTTCAAAGATCTATTTGTATTTTATTGCTGTTTTGGCTTGTTTGGCTGCATGAACCAGCTACCTAGGGTGACCTTCTCGGTAGGGAAGCCTTACACTTCTTTAAGAGGAGAAGTGGAACTTAGCAGGCGATATGTAAAGCTCCTTTTATCTCACTATAATATTTTTTCACAATTTCTTCAAGGACCAAAGGTCTTTTCTCCCTGAAAAGACTTTTAACTGACTTTATACTGAATTAAAAAAAAACAAACAACCACCAAAATATTTTGAATGTTCATATAGTGAATCAAAACCTACATTTTACTATAAGAATGAACAGTGATTTACCAGCCACTCATGATGAGTTTTCCCTTGGCTGAGGCATTTTCTATATAGGTGGAAGAAAAGGCAAAAATAACACAGAGACAGATTGGGGAAATTTCCCAGATTTGCCCTTTTAAGCGTTACGAAGATGGAGGCTGGAGATGAAGGCTGAAACCTCCTCGCAGTGGGTATCAAACCGACAGCACAGAGTTGTTGAGGCCAGATCGCTGCGATGTTTACCACGTTGGAAGTCCGGTTTTAATTAAACGCAATCAATTTCTCAAACCCTATGAAATGACTGTGGTACCCCAGATACAGAACTTGGTATAACGCCTTTGGTGTTGTTACGGTCTGTGCTCAGCTCCCGTTGTCCGGCTGTAACTGGGCGAGCTGCTCCGATCCAAACACCCATTTCCCAAGTGGTAAAGTGAATCGGGCAGAAGCATCTGAATTTGAGAATGGGCAGCTGGGGCCGTGCTTCGCTAGCCCGCTTCTCGTGCGGTAAATGCCTTTTTCCAAATCTGAGTTGATAGTAGTGTTTACGGGCGTGAGAGAAAGCATAGGTCAAACTTAGCATGAGAAATGCACTTACTCAAAATGACGTTTTAATTGAAACAGCTTCCCCGTGACTACAGTTAGGTTTCTGTTTTGATTTCAGCAGCGCACAAGGTAAGTGAAAGAGAAATACGATAGTCAGTGGCTGTAACTATAATACAAGAAGGGCCTGCAGAGGATCACCAGATTCAGTTTAACTGATGGTGTAATTTGGAAGACAAGTATCTCCCTAAATACCTTGCAGAATAAAATACTAAGAATTTAGGACTGGAAGGTGTTGGTTGGATAGGAGTCCGGTCCACTGTGGCATTAGCTAGCTTATGCTGGGGAGGATCTACAGAGGGTTTCCTTGCTCATCCCTTCCTCTTAGCCCTACTAATTCACAACACCCACCAATAAATTTAGGGCTTGCAGGTGAGGCTGAAGCTGCAATTACTACGTGTTGTGAGGCAGAACACAATTGCCGAGCGTTGGGTGATGGTCTCTGGGTACAGGCGTTTCTGTGGTACCACGGCTGCATTTTATGAGTACTTGCTTGGGGTATCTTGCCCCCGTGTTGTCTGAACCAGTGGTAGGAAAATAAACTTCTGCTGTGCGGCTGCTGTAGAGAATTGAATTTAAGTGGTCAGCATGAGTGAGCCGTCCAAGGCTTCAGTTTGTATAATCCTGGCTAAAAGCACAACTCTTACCATTACAAAAATAATAATTTGATTATACCACTGCAAATTATTGAAGCTAGCAGGACCAGCTGTGGCTGTGAACTTGTGCTCTAGCCGAAAGGACAAATTAGGAGCTCCGTCTGAAACCTACTCTGCCTTTCCTACACATCTGCCCTGGGAAGGAGCTGGTGCAGGGACGAGTCCCTGTGTCGGTCCCCTGCTTCCAGCCTCAGCGTCGGCTCTCACCTGTGGCTGAGGAAGGGAAGGGCCACGTTAAAAGCCAGACCTGTCTCTTCCGCCACAGCACCATCGCTCCGTTCACCACTAAGGATGACTGTGGGTGTGGTGTGCAGGAGAGGATGGTTAGTAGCTCCCTGGGAGAGATCGTCCTCTCTATAAAGGCTGGGATGTCCTCAAATTGAGGTGGTCGCTTGATTTTTTTTTTTTTTTTAAAAATCTTATTTTTTTATTTTATCTTTTTATAGTGGCTGTTGTTATAACCTTAGACCCTACAGAAGTTTAAGGGCAGTAGGAACGGACTCTGGGAGAGCAGAGAAGGCACGCAAGGCTGCCGTAAAGAAAAGCCAATGGATGTATTTTTCAACATACTTCTGAGGAAAGAATACCAGTCTTTCCCTCTGCCTCCTTTTTTAACGATACACGCTGGGCTTGATTTCTTTCCAGTTTTCAGAAGGATGTTACTTTCCGCGGATCAAACGCCACCACTTACGGATGTTGATGCTTCTGTTATGGCCAAGAGAGCGCTTGGCCAGCTGGTGAGACCAGTCCCTTTCCCGAGCGATGGTGGTGTTCCTGGATCCCGTTTATCCAAATGTAAAATAAGGATGTGTTGGGCAGGATAAATACGAGATCTTTTCGGACAAAATAATTTGTTCCAAAAAAAAAATATGCAAAGTGCAGTCAGGCATCTGTGCTGGACAGCTTTAAAATGCCAAATGCCGTCAGTACCTTTACGCGTTTTTACAAACAGGCTTTAGTAGGACATGGGCATAGTGGTTTGGATTTATTTTACAGAGTGGCTGGCACATGCAAATACATGATTCACTGTTGGACAAATCAGAACTGACAGAGCATTGTGTTGTAGCCTTGTTAGCTGAATTTTCTTGTTTCTGAACTGGGTTAGGGTGGTATTTTTGCTCCGTAACATGCTTAGCATAGCTTTGTGCATTTCATACATATCCATAAATAAATAGAAATGACTCAGATTTGTTTGTTTATAAAATATGGGAGACAGGAATATGACTACTGTAAAAACATGCTGGCATATTTGTCATACTGTGGGGGATCATTCCTTAAAACAAGTACTAATCCTGATGAAGACAGAAATTGTATTGAAAGGCAGATTTTTCCGGTGTGAAGTTTATTGCTCCTAGTTCTCCGAGGTAGTAGTGTGCAGAGACCCGGAGCAGTAAGGCCAAGCACTGCAACAAACAATAGAAGGCTGATCCTGCTAGATTTTAATTTCATGTCCTGGTTTTGTGTCTGGTAGGAGAGAGATGGGTGCCTTGTCTCTTCAAATCAGGCGCTGAGGTGAGATCTTAAGGAATCCTCTCTCGTACCAGATGAGGAGGAGGATGCAGATGTCTCCTGGAGGATTTCAGCAGTAGTTGTCTAGGGAGAAAATAAAGCTGTGCTGCAAATGCAGATTTTACAGTCAGGTTTGAGGACCCTTGCTTTGGGTTCCTGTGATTTTTGAGAAGTTAATATTAGTACTCAAACAGAAAACTGTGTTAATGCTTTTTTCATGTTCACTTCTCTTCACCGTTTAAGCTCTTAAAGAACTTTTGTCAGTTCAGTGAGTAGTTTGAAACGGATTTGTAATATAAATCCAGGAACTTCTCTATTAAGAAACAAATACTCTGATCAAGAAAATCAGTCCTGCATTATCTCTAATAATTTTTTGCTCTCAATCTTGAGACAACGTATGGAAATAAAAGGAGAAAGAGGGAGGAAACGCACTGGCTTTCTCTGAGGGTTGTGCGTGGTTTTTAATAAAGTATCTTAAGGGAAGAAGGTTCTAGTTTATACATTATGAGTTAGTGAAGTGGTTTCTTAATTGAAACCGTAGCACTAGACCAGCGTGGGATCTGGTGTCTCTTCTTTTCCCTGCCTATTCTGCCCCTCACACCAAAGTTAGGTCGTGGTTTATTCTTGTTCGTTATTACTTTTGAAATCTGTTTTGGGGTTCTTGGGGTTTGTTTTTTTTCCCCTCCACTGTAGCCCACACTGTTCATGCTGAAGGGTGATGTGAGACTGCCTGCCGTTTACTCTCAGCCTAATTGCTGCTTTAATCTGAGCTGTTCTTGCACGTCAGTTGGAGAGGGAGTGTGGGCATCCTTTGCAGCAGTGTCACCCTTCTCTTAATTGACAGTTGTTCAGGGTTGTAAAGACTAAATAACTGTTCGTCCCTTCCCCCTTGAACTCCAGAACTGTCATTGGGTTAGTTTAAGGTGGCACCACTCTTGGTTTAAGCAATTTTTGATCAAGAGGGTAGTTTCTTACCAATTAGCATTAAGAAGATGGAGTAGAGAACGCGCATTGTGTAACTTGTTCGTGCTGCCTGTGCCAATTTGGCAAACTTGGGCAGATCAGCAGAGTTCATCCTCTCTCCGGGGATCTTATGCTCTGAACCTTTTGGTTAGAGTCAAGATCAACACGTAAGAACAGAGTAGGCTTAGCTTTGTTGTAAAGGACGACATAAGTTTCCGTCTCCTCCCCCAGAAACTGAGTAAGCACGATGACCTCAGAGTTGTGTTCAACAGGGAGATCTGAATAAGCAGGTGACAAGTGAGTAAGATATTAAAAAAAAAAAAAAAAGACATTTATTTGAAAGATAGAGAAGGTATGTTCTCCAACCCCTGCTGTCCCCCTGTCCCCTCTGCCTGTGCAGAGCAGGGCAGGCAGCCAGGCTTGGACCTTGCTGTGTCTCTCGGTCCACTTTGGGTTGATGGCCGGGCCCAGGGACGGGTCGGCAGGACCTGTATTGGGCAGCACCGCAAGGCTGCAGCTGGAAAGGGATGGCTTTTTGGAGTTGTGGGAGCAATGCAGGCAGGCTCCCTCGCAGCCCTTGTAGAGCAACAACAAAAAAAAGGCAAATCTCCAAGTTCTTGGCATTTGAGCACCTCTGGGAAGAAAACGCTTTTGGTGTTGGGCTGCGTTCTATTGCTTCTGCCTGGTTTTTAAAAACAAATGCTAGCTAACCAGCTTAACAGCCAAAAAGTCGTATTTGCTTTGGGATTGAGTGCTTCTGTTTGCTTGTCTGATGTTCCCAATGCAGATGTTTGGGCATGGACAGTTTGAGTTGTAAACTTCTTGGTAAAGTCAGGGAACTTCAGCAAGCACAAATCTGTCTGTCTATAGTCATATATATCATATGTGCGCTTCCGTAGCGAGTCAATGCGAATCACGTAGTGGATAGCCTACAGAAATATTTTTCCAGCATGAGAATTTAGTGATATTTTCATATTTTTCAGTAAAGAGGTGACAAGCTTGCTCTGAGCTTCAGGCGTCTTCCCTGAGGTCTATATACTGCCTGATGTTCGCACTTACCATCAGTGGCAAGCTGAATAAAGGAGCGCTACTAATATAAACTGATTTTGGTTTAAACATTTTGTCATGTATAAGCTCTGCTGTAGCCTTAGGTTTTTTGACAGTTACTTTATCTGTTGACGTATTTTGGAGCGTTTCTATTGCGTGGGCTTTCTCCTCAAGCGCAGAGAAGTTATTTCTGCATTAAGATTTTGCTTGAATGTTCTGGTTTCTACAGGGATTAATTGCAATTCAACTTTTTCCCCTTTTTTATCCAGGGGATCGTGGGTAACTTAGCGAGTGGCAAGTCTGCACTTGTACACCGGTACCTGACTGGCACGTATGTCCAAGAGGAATCACCAGAAGGTATGTGCAGATGCAAATTTCACTATTTATTTTTTTCCACAAACTACATCTTTATTCATTTTTAATCATGCAGAAATGAATCGGTAAAGAACCCAATTTGCTATTTCAATGTGTATGGAGATTTTTCCTTTAACATTCTCCAGGCTGAGATAATATATACGATGAGTATATTTGTAGCTTTTTCATAACTACTTAGCATCCTTAAATACTTTGGCACCCAGTATGTGCCCATATGGGAAACGTCTGGTCCCGTGTTGAGAAGAGTTGACGGCTCTGAGTAGCGCTGCTGCTTTCAGTTTGGCTGTTGAAAGGCACAGTTACTGTATCTAGTACTGGATTTCTGCAAAACTGAGCCCCTTGGTTTGCGAGAATAAAAAAAAAAAGCCCACTTCACAAGCCAAAACTAATGATGTAACTTGTTCCTTGTTTAATATATGAAATCTTTGGTCTTGAAGCTTTTTTTTTTAAAAAAAATGTTCTTATGCCATAGAAAATTAACTTACATGTGACAACATCATAGTGTTTAACATTAATCCAAGTTTATAGCTTGAAATCAAAAATATCGTAGTACCTTATAGAGGTGTATCTTACACTAAACACTTTTTTGATATTTTTTTTTTATCTATTCTCCTTATGAACTTTTAAATCCAACTCTGAGACACTGAATTTCTGGTTCCTTCTTTTCCTTACTGGCTGTTCCATTCTTTGCAGATATGGATGCAGGTAACTATACATTGTCTTCATGGCAGCTCTTGTTTTGAAGAGACAGACAGCAGTTTCTGTACTATAGCGTTTCCCCCTTGTTTTGTGTATCATTTTGATTTGTTTCCTTTTGATTTCAAGTCTTTAGTACATCTCACTGTTTTTGTCTCTTGCTGTAGTTGTCTTTTCAGCAATAGTTTGTAGCTTCATGCATCTACGATAACATTTGTTTCAAATTAACTCTTGGAAGCTATTAAGCATAGTACTTGACATTTTAACAGTTGTTAATTGCAGTTAAAATGGGAGGAGAGGGAAAGGGAGGGACGGACAAGGCTTTTTCTTGTGTAATTGCAGTAACAGTGAAGTCTTCCAGTTTATAAGCTTGCCTTAGATGTTTTGCTGCTTTGTAGCTAGGACTGATGGGGTGATAATTGAGCCTTGCAACAAAACTGGGTGTAGATCACATTTTTGCCTGCTGCTTCTGGATGCTGATAGAGGAATGGTTATCTACTGTGTGGATCCACAGAATACAAGAAATCTTCAGCAAAAATGAGTGTCTCTACAGATCTCTTTCCTCATTTCAGGAACAGAAAATATTTTGGGTTATTTTTCTTGCAAGATTGAAATGTATTGATTATTCACAGGGCGAACAGCCATCTCCTCCTAAACGATGAATATTTTAGATGCTGTTCCTTGAGAGTGGTGCCATCTGTCCTCTTTGTCTTGAAGGATTTTTATTTACAATGCTTGAGTGACGTTCCGACTGTTTTTCCTGAAAGGGTTAGATTCCAAAAGCAGCGTCAAATCATTTCTTCGCACATAAGCGTAGCTGACAAGCCTCACTAATGACACCATTCCATTTCATTAACAGTAGAAAAACTGGAATAATTAAGAGCTCTAATTCACCTTGTAAGGAGTAGGGTCAAGATTTCTAATCAAGTTAGTATTAAAGGAAATTCAACCCATATAAACTATCCTTAGTAAACATCCGTAGTAGTGATTTGTTAGTGTTTTCTTTTTCTCATCCAAGCGAAGTCCGCAGGCTGCCGTTCTATAGAAAATACAGCAGCAGCGCAGATAGTTCTGTTGCATTGCGGTGCGGGACTTCTGATTTTTACATTCTTTTAATAAATAGAGGCTAAGCGTTAGCCTTTATGTCGGAGACCAACGCGGATCTTCCTCTTCTCCTTTTCTGAGGTATTGTAAATGTGCCGGGTTGTTAAATTGGATAAAGAATAGCGTGTGTATCAGACGTTAAGGTGTCAGATGCTTGACTAGTTAAGGAAAAAAACCAAAGTTTACTGACTTTGAATGGCTTGCTAACCGCAAAATTTGTCAGGCATCATATAATTAGTATCTAATTGGTAAAATGATGGATGCATACTTCATGTGAAAATGGTGATTACAAGCAGGGATGGCTATTTCTGCTATCCTTTGCCTTCTAAATTGCTACAATTACCATGAAACCTGCCCTGAATTAGACAAGTGCCAGAGCTCCTGTAGACCTTGAAGGTAGCTTCAGCTTTCCGGTAAATGAATCTGAAGGATATAAAGATGGTTTCATGTTTCCTTCGCTCTTTTCTTTAAGATGAGATATTTCTCTCGCTGCCTGACACCACCTCCCCACCAAGACAAAGGATCCATCACATTGAAGTGTACAGCAGTTTTCTCTCATTCTGTGGCCCAATTTTTATTTCTGTTTAGAATTAATTTCAGTCTCTAGTGTTATTATAGCATGAAAACCTGTGTTTTCCCGAAGAATAAGTTTGTCTTGGGAGGAAAATGGACTTTTAGACTCTTCCTTTGCGTATTTAACAGGCACATAGCTATACTCCCATGTGACGCGTTTTTAAATCGGGTGTATTTTGATGTCAGAAAACAAATGATGTATTACTGTAACAAGTGGGAATTTCAGTAGTCTGGGTCTTGCAGTTTTCTTCTGTAATGACACCACAAGGAAGTGATGGGAAATAGGATATTTTAGTGATTGGCAATCTAAGAACCTTCCGGGGGATTGGAAGAAAAGCTCCTGTTAAACAGCGTGCTGGGTTTTACACATAGCTGAAACAAGTACGGTACGTGCAACCCGGTGTCTTTTTTGCCCCGGCAAAAATTTAATTCTACCTGTAGGGACAAAATGAAGCGTGGTGTGCATGGAATTTGAGCCCAAGCACTTTGCAGACCAAGGTGAATTGAAGTTTACAGGAATAGCAAGTGTCAGGAGTATTCTGTTACTGTTGGGGTTTTTGTTTCCAAAAAGTCCCAGAAGCGTGAAACGTGACTTCAAGGCTTTTGCCACATCTCTGGTTTGTCTGTGCACACCTTAACTTAGGTCACAATTATTTCAGGGTGGGGTTTTTTTCCCCAGTGAGCCTAGTAAAAATTAAAATAAAGCAGTTAAGTTGTGATCCAAGGTGTCTCAGCTGGGATGAGGAAAAAGGAGTTGGGATTTTCTTTTCTCCCCACTCCACTCCCACAGTCAAGTGAGATGCTGGAACAGACGACTGATGTCAACATGAGCTACTAAATCTGTCCAGTATGTCTTCTGCTTAAGAAAACCAAGAAGGGGAGCCGAGGTCACGTTAACAAAATCCCCTTAAATTTGGAGAATAGTTGAAGTGAGAGTTAAGAAGGAAGCAGGTTCCCTGCTGAGGAAACAGAATTAAGATGGTGGTACCTGTGCCGTACCGCTGAACGGAGAAAGCAAGAAAGAGGTGGCACAACTCGTTTGGCTCGATCTTTGGTAACTTTTGCAAAAGTTTTAAGGTCTCCAGTGTAACGTATGCTTCGGAGACTGCCTTTGAAGAAACTTAAAGCGTAACTTCTTTCCTGAAATTGGTAATTACCTCTCTTGCTGCTAGTTTTTTGGAGAGTTGATGATCTGATTGGCAATCTGCTCTGGCATTCAAATGAGGGACAAATGTTTTAAGTGGGTTAATAACTAAATGTTTGGGTATATTTACTTTTCCCCCCCTGTTTTCCCCACTCTGATGGAGCAAAACTTTTTTTTTTTCTCTCAAAAGCATAAAGGCAGTCCAGCACCCCGACTTGGGGGAGCAAATAGGTGTTGCAGTCAGTGGAGATTTCAAGTGTCTGTGTGTGGAGGAACTTACGAATATAATAAAAATGAAAATGTAGGATGTGAATCTTCGCAATACTATTTCCTGCCTTCTAGGTTGATGATCTTTAGGCTTCCCTTGTAGTACACAGTACTAAAGAAAAGCATTGGAAGCTCTTGCAGAGGGTGATTTTAGCCACTAATAGGTATCTTTTTTTACCTCTCTAATTTTTTTTTATCTATGGATTTTTTTTATTCCTTACGTAATAGAAGGCTATTTAATTGCCTTTGATTTCTCCTTTCCCGTTTTCTTTTTGTAACTGTAGGCCATTTTAGTTCTTTTTCTCGTTGGCAGAATGGGTGGGAAGCCATTTTTATTCCCGTTGGCGTATTGTGAGTGTGACCACGCTGTAGCGTGAGCGGGGTGCAGAGATTTGCCTGCCACTTCAATTTTGTGGTGCTGCCTCTGCTGCGTCCCAGGTGAGCTACGAGCTCAGCAGAGTACCACCGCACGGGGACCCTCAGTCTGTCCCTGAAGGAGAAGATGCATTAAATTTCAAGTACCAATTAATTACAGTTAGAGGTTTCTGATGTGGTAAGGGCTATGATGAATATGTTCCCCCAGTAAGCGTGATAGAGTAAAGCCTTAATGTGCCTTCCAGAAAGCTGTGATCATTTACTTCCTTTCAAAACTTGACTTAAAAATAATTTTTAGACTATAGAAACCTTCACTGAGTAAATTTTTTCAGTACCTACAATGAACAGTGTATCATATGAGTAACAGGAATGGTCCTAAAACTTCACATTTATTATAAAAATACTAAGCAAAGTGTCAACTTCAGCCTTGCCTAAAAAGAAGAATGACTGTAATGAGACTGTCATGAAAGGAAGTTGCTAGCCTGTTACCAAAACCTGTAGGAATTTCATATTGGGGGACAAATGTTTATATTTTTCAATTTATTATCTCTAGGAACTTATTTCCCTATCCTGCTACTTCAGCAGAGTGTAATTACGCAAGGAAAGTTGAGAAAGACTACTTTAATATTTCAGCTGCTTTTGTTCAGCATCCCCTCACGAGATTTTCATCTGGCCACAGACTCTTACAAAATATGTATACAAAAAGTTCAGGCATGATTCTTTAGCCTGGATAACCTTCCAGTTGGCTTCATTCATGGAAAAGGTCTAATGCTTCACTGGCTGGGCTCTGGGATGAAACCAAGAATGGAGCTTGTTCTCCTGG